TCAAAACTCCAAAAGTCCTTCGACTACGTCGATGAGGACATGCGCCTCCTGGAGGAAATGACAACGCGACCGAATTCATCCCCACGTTGGCCAATAACTGATCCGACGAAACCGTATGTGTGTCAATATTGCGGTGTTGGTTTTGCGCGTGAAAAAGCCCTTGCATCACACGCGAGAATTCATGGTGGGGACAGCCCTTTTGAGTGCACCAACTGCGGTGATATGTTCTGGGATGTCAATGCCCTGCGCGATCACATCCGAATAAAGCATGGTGTCACCCAATCGCCCATCGATGAATTCGATACAGCAGAGACACCCTACACCGGTGACGAGAGATTCGGTGAATTTTACTGTGAGACATGCGGTGTACCTTTTCATCGGCTCGATCTCCTGAAGAGACACAGGAAGATTCACGTTAAACAGGAAACTGGTGGTGAACAAGTTGACTCTGGTAATCACCATGTGTGCAATGTATGTGGTGAGTGGTTCGAGGAAGCTCTTGCACTTTTAGCTCATGCTGAGCTCCATGCTAGATCACCAACGAGACGTTGTCTCCTCTGTGGTGAGCGTTGTCGTGACGATGCTGAAGTTGCTGAGCACGTCAGGCTCATTCATGGTGATGATGCACCACCAAATACCTGCACACTATGTGGTAAAACTTGCAAGGACAAGAGAAGTCTTCTGAAGCACTCGTGGGTGCACAATACTGATAAGACATTTGGATGCACCAAGTGTGGCAAGAGATTTCACTCGAAAGCTAGACTCAGGAGGCATATGGTGAGTCACAGGAATAAAATGGTTGCTTGTGATGAGTGTGGTGAGGAGTTTCCGGATGGTAGAGCACTCGTGTCTCACAGACACTCTCACAATAAGGAGCTGGGGGGAAGATCATTTCCCTGCAGAGAGTGTGGAAAGACATTTGGTAGCAGAAGCTCACAGCAGATTCATATTAGAATTCATACCGGTGAGAGACCCTATGGATGTAGATTCTGCTGGAAGGCTTTTGCTGATGGTGGAACTCTCAGGAAGCACGAGAGAATTCACACGGGTGAGAAGCCGTATGGTTGTGCTATCTGTCCGAGGGCTTTTAATCAGAGAGTTGTCCTCAGAGAACATGTGAGAGCGCATCATTCAGGGCCTGATCCCAAGTGTCATGGTAGCTTGACACCTTATCTTTGTAAAGTATGTGGTGATTCGTTTGGATCGTCTGAGGAAATTATTCTCCATATCGTGCAGCACTGCGATGACAATACAGCGTTGAGACGACAGCCCCAGGTTGGACCCAGAAAATACAAGAGGAGGAGGAAACTCAAGCCCCATGAGAGTCCGATTGTCACCCAGAGGAGTGAATTTGATGGGGCGGAATTGTCCGAGTCTGATGAAAACAGCAAGAGGAAGGCGAAGAGGAGTAACAAGCGGTCTCTGGACGAGGGCTATCAGTCCGTTCTCAAGTCATTTGAGAGCTCCATTCAGAATATAAATTCAATTGTCAGTAGTTCGAAAGCTAGTAAGAGTGGAAAAGTCAAGAAGAAGATGAAGAAGGAGGAGAAGAAGGCGCCGGAGAGTAGTGCAACGTCGAATTCGGGGAGACCCAAGATGATTCACACGCAGAAGACTAGAGTGCCTGTTGAAGTTGGCAGTGATGGGGCGAAAAAGGGACAGAAAACCAAGACCATGGTGACGAGAACGCCCAAGGTGATGCCTGGTGAGAGGGGAATGTTTCCTGGTGGCGAGAGAAATCGACCGAGAACCAAAAATGTCAGTTATCATGTTGATGGGAGGAATGTCATACCCGCAACTTTTCCACAGGTTAATAATGAAATTGTGGAGACAATGGAGCAGACACCAGAGCCTATGCAGGAGTTTGTTCAGGTTAATGTGAAGACTGAGCCTCATATGATCACCAGGAGGTCAGCAGCCAATCATTCTAATGGATCGAGCATCGGTGTCAGGGATGTTGAGATCAAGAAGAGGGTGAGGAAGGGGGTGAAGAAGATGAATAGAGGGATAAAGATTGAACCTAGGGAGGAAATTCTTGAGGAGCATATACCTGAGGAGGATATTGCTGAGGAGGTTGTTGATGAGGTACCCAAGGTTGCTATGGAGATGGAGGTGGGATTTGAGGAGACCATTGAAGAAAATGGTGAGAGCATTTTACCTGATCTTGATGGGGTTCATCAGGATATCGTTGTACCTGAGAAAGTCAGTCTCAGGGTGAAGGTTGAGCCTGCAACGTCCAGGGGATTACTCGAGGATGTGCCTGAAACTATTATTCCTGATGCTATCGAGTACACCTGCGAAATGTGCTCCGCTGTTTTTTCCAGTCGTGCTGAGTTACTTGTACATGTACCTATACATATTTGATTTAGTACAGAGATTATGGTACATTAGGGATGAGGGTGGGAGGGGGTGGTAAAATTTTTGGAGATAAAATTTTTGGGGGAAATTTCACTGAGGGGAGTGGCTGGGGACTGATTAATATGTGGGGTCGTGGAGTAATCGGGGATTTCTCGGAGAAGCAGCCGAGGAAGTGCCAGCACTAGGTGGTGGATCTTCTTCGGAATTTCGTCAGCTTTAAGATGGGACCATTTTCATCGGAATCCCGTTGGTTGTTTCGGAGATATTACGGTTTTCATGTTAAGTTTCCAGACAATATTCGTTGAAATTTATTTGCATTCGGTTTTTTTTTTTTTCTTTGAGAGGGCTGGGGAATTCTGCTGGGTTCAGGAATGAAATCTCGTCGATTCTATGCCCATTCGTGTGCCCCAAAAATAGCCGATTGTTCCGGATATATTTAACTGAAATGTTACGTTAAGATGAGTAATTAATGAATTATTTTCACGAAATGTTTTCTTTATTTTCATTGCATTCTCGACGTTTAAGTTTACTAGACACATCTTTGTATTCAGCACTTGTGTAATCGATTATTAATTATTAAAATTAATCTTCTTTTCATTTTCTTTTTTAATTTCGCGGTGAGTCTCTGCTCAGTCGTGAAATTCAGTTTTTTAAGTTGTTGGATAACTCGGAGTTCCATATCTTCAATTCCTTTCGTTGAATTTCTCATTTTTTTTTTTTTCGTTAATTCTTGAAAATTAAAAAATCCCTATCACCTCTAAAATATCTAAAACCAGAAAATCAGACAACAAAATAATAACTCCGGACATTCCCTAACGCGAGTCAAAAATATAATGAGAGGAAAATTTTATACCATTTGTAAAAGTGTAAATTTGACGATTAAAAAATGATGTAAATAAAATTTACAAGAGTTTAAAATAACGTAGAGCCTTTTTTCGACTTTTGAGATGTGAAAGTAAAAGAGAAAAATTATAACTGAGGAATTATCATCGGCTAATATGTTTTTGGTAAAGTGTCGAGACATTTTAACGAACCCAAGACACCACAGAGAAATATAAACATTAAATTAATCGCTAATTTTTTTTCATGATTAAAATCAATCGATACGGATAATCATGAATTGTAATTATCTGTGCTTTATGGTAATTTTAATGATAAAATAAGCAATTAGGATAATTGATTAAATGTAAAATCACAAATGAAAAATTGTGTTGCATGGTAGAATTTTAATTCACGAATATTGATTGAGACAAAACAATTTATCATACGGAGAGGTTAAAGTTTAAGTAAAGATGATAAAAATATAATGAATTTAGGATTTAAGTCGAGATAAAGTGGATAAATAAATATATTAATCGTAAGAAATAAAATGCCACAATGGCGAATTAGTGTAACTAGATTATTTAAAGATGAGATGAAAAAAAAAACAACTTTTTGTTACCCCTAAGTAACTAATTATTGTGACGAGGGTGGATATCGAATTATCTCAAAGATTTGGATCAAAAATATTGAGTAGAAGATGATTGGGAGGATGGGAGGATAAACCATTAATAAAGGAGTTTGAGACAATTGAGGGCGTAAATTGTACATATTTTATTGGATATGGTATGGTGACGCAATTTACTGTTAATCGTAGTTGTATTTTTCTTTGAATAAATGATTAATTAATGGATACATCAGAGCTCTTTCGCATTATCATAATGATTTTAACGTCACGAGTGTAATCGGATTTCAAAAGGGGATTCTCTCCTCATGATTTTTTACTGTTTTAACTTCAGCATTAATTGTTTGATAATTTAATGGTCAGTTAGTTGCGTTTTATTCTAGGCGTTTGCATTTCGACAGACGACTAGTTTCCTAAAATTTCCTGCACTAGGGTATAAAGTCGCAGACTCCATAAATTTCCTTCTCAAATCCCATCGCCATGATGGACATGAGGATGAGAACAGCACCGATTATGCTGGTGGAGTTGGGTATTTCACCGAAAATGTAGACCTGGATGACGTATGCCAGGATGATGTCGAGGGATCGTGTCACTGATACTTTTCCAGCTCCTTCGATCTTCAGGGCTTTTGTGACGAGTACTTGACCGCTCAAGCCTGTACCTGCGACTAATCCTATTAGTCCCCAGGTCTGCCAGTCACTGGGGAATGCTCTGATGTGGTGGTGAGCCTCGGAGACGATGAAGAAGAAGAAAATAGCTGACATCAGGATCCAGCATGAGAGATTCAGGACGAGAACTGCAAAGTGAACCTCTGCACATTTTCTCATCACCACGATGTTCAGGGCGGTGAAGAATGTGGCCAGGAGGGCACAGACGTACCCCATCACGTCGTACGATTGGTTGTGTCTCTAAAAATAATTCGATTCTTCATTTTTCGTTGACAAGTCGTGAACTGGAATGAGTGCATTTTTTATCGAGTCCAGATTTTCGCTGATATCTCGAAATTGAAGGGAGATATCGATATTTTCGTTAGGACCTCTTTTGTAGATCTCATCTTTTTATAAAAAAAATGTTTATAAAAAAATTCGCTGTGTCTCTTCCATTCCGAGATAATCAAGGGAAACGGGCGAGGCATTCAATATAAAATCGGGGGTGGTACCAGGAAATTCCGCGATACTCTCGGAGATAATTGCAATTATTCAATTTTACCTCGAATATAAATGGGGGTCTGGACACCAGGACAACTCCAGCGAAGAGCGTGCAGATGACGACGACCCTGAGAACTCCACAGGGTTCTTTCAAAAATAAAAATGACAGGGCAATTACGATCACTGGAGAACTGAAAATTATTGTTGTCGCATCCCCCAGGGGTAATTTCCGGAAGCTGTAGTACAAAAGAGCGAGAGTCATCCCTCCAACAATTCCCTAAAGACAGGAAAGTTCCAGTATTTAATTATTTACCACCTCGTTTTTTTATAATTAATTAATCAATTGAAAATGATTGAGGAAATATTTTCGATTGAAATATCAAATTCTCGTTTGGCGTTGGAAAATTTGTAATGACACATAAATTAAATTTATATATAATATTATATAATATTAAGTAATATTAAATAATATTATATAATATTATATAATATTATATAATAAATTTATTAATTAAAAATCGAGACTGTTTACCTGAAAGTGAATTAACATTCTCGATCCTTTTGGTCCAGATATATTTTTTCCGTGTCTGATAGCCACCCCTAGCATCACAACAATTTGCAATATTGCTCTTATACCCAGGAGCACCATTGGATCTACATTTCTGATGGCTTTGACGAGGCCAGAGCTTATCGTAAAAAATGCACCGGATATGAACGCCAAAAATATTCCAAACCACTTGGTACCTTCTCTGTACGTCTGCACATTATTATCAAATTGCTCTGTGTACTGATAAGCTGGGTGAATACTATTGTACGAAGTTGTCGATTCAATATTGAATTTCATTTTAAATTTCTAATAATTCCCCGTATTTTACAATTTATCAATTAAAAATAATTAATAAAAAAATATTTGGGAATTAAATGGCCGATTTCGCCGATTGTTTTTCATTCGTAATTTTTGTCGCTTGATTTTTTTATTTCTTAATTATTTAATATCTGAACCTGTTGGAACAACAATCGAGACTGGAGTGGTCATTCACCATCCGCTATAGTTGTTGTTCATTAATTAATTAATTCATCACCATGTGGAGAGGATTAAAGAGGATTACAGCCGTGAGGAATTGAGACTTCTCTGACGTTATGCAACACCTGTGTTTCGGGGATTTCCAATTAAATATCTATTAAACAATTTAATTACTCTCCAATTACACATGCATCTTCGGAATTCATTCTCTTCTCGCTATTTCTCAGGGATAAATTTGACGAAAAAATTATCTGAGAGCGCAATTAATACTTCATTAAATACCCAATTTTCAGTAATCAGTCTCATATTAGTAATTATCATAATGAGGACGAGCCGTTGATGCTGGTGTGGGGTGTGAAGCCGTAGGGGGACGTCACTAATGGTGAAACTTCATTTAATTCATTAAAATTGTCTTTTGATTGATCACCAGAGGCACATGGCAACAATTTTTTCCATAAACCACTTAATTTTTCTCTTCTCCCCCATCTCTGATAAACAATGGCATTAAAAAATGCTTGAAGTGGATTTGTCACCGCCTGAAATCATGAAAAAATCATTCAATTTATTTTCAACGAGAATTTATACAAATTATTTAATAAAAAATAATCGAATTATTTAATAAAACAAAATGATTAATTGAATTGAATGATATAATATTTTTTAATCGTTTATTTGACGTTGATTATGATTAAATAATTTGTTGATAAATTCAGGGATTTTTGATAATTATTTATTTAAACAAATTGACTCACCATAATGTACCACAGAGTAATGATAATTTTCACTGGTAATTTCAACCACAAACTCCATAATAGGATTCCGTTTATGAGATTTGGCAGCCAACAGATGTAATAAACAATATTTATTAGTGCAAATTTCAATTTTATTGTTTTAACGAGCTTTCTCTCTCTGCTCGTCATCTGCGCGAGGCTGCATGTCACGGCATTCTCCAAATCTCGGGTTGATTTAACGTAAAGCACTGGATTAACAATCATCACTAGAGCAAGAAGGACGTAAGTCGCACAGTAATTCGGAAGAATCCTTAAAACAGCTGTTGATAGAGTGGTCGCTTCATGGCAGCTGTAAAAATTTATTTTTCCTTGCAAATCCATTACAATTAATTAATTAATCATCTCTAAAATATATTCCACCAATTACCTATTTTAATTGTTCATTAAACCTGTCAAAAATATAAACAAATTGGAATTTCCTGGAGAAAAGGGGAGTCTTTTTTTATTAAATATTCCAATGCGTCATTTTTCATCTTTTTTTTTTTTGGTAATTAATTAATTAATTCGAGAGATTATAATCGGTTAATTAGGGGTTAATTACGTACTTGGCATCGGGGAGGTAGAGGATGGACAATCCGAAAATCGTGAGGACTCCTGGACAGATCCAGGCGACAGAGTGGTACCAGGATGGTCTTCCTGGTCTCTCACCCAGGAGAAGCTTCATGTCGACTGCGTAGCACAATGTCCAGATCCACGCTGCCATGTAGAAGTACTGACTCCATGCCTGAAAACTAATGATTAATCATTTAAACTCGTTCATTATTTATTTATTAACAATAACTTACAGAGGATACTGCACAAAAAATTACACTGGACGTGTCACTCTCTCCTGGCATTAGTGTTTTGTAATTTAACCAGAGGGTAGATCTGATAAAAACACCTGGAAACGGTAAAATTCATGTTATTTGTTGATCCAGGAAATAGTTTAATTAACGGGAATACCTAATGACGCGAATAAATCAGCAACTGCCAGCCATATGATGATCTCTCGTCCCCTCGAGCCGGAAAATGTTTGCCACCGGTGCTGATACGCCGTTTCTTCCCTCGGTAATATCTGCAATTTGTTTAATTAATCGTAATAATAATAATCATCAGTAATTAATTCCAAACCCATCGAATCACTCGAAAAAAATCCTCAAACAAGATAAATCACCGCAGACTGCACACAACAATTTGATAATTCCCATAATCAACCTAATCAGTTAATTAAAATTAATTAGTACAGACAACAAATGACTGACAACGAAATTCTGGAGTTTAGAACTGAAATAATTATTGAATATTTTTATAATTGATATTGTAATGATGATTTTAGTAATTATCGGTATGGGAATCGATTTTATTTCGTTTCAGGTTGAAGTTTTGGATTTTAATAACAATAATTAATAACAAATACCTGATAGAGAGCACCTAGTATTCCCATAGCTGATGATAATATGCAGACGGTGTTGTAAATGTCTGTATTAAATTCTTGCATGATGATAACAGACATGTCTGTTTTATTGTTGTGTCGACAGCAGAAAGTTTGTATCGTGGGATCAGCCATGTTGAATATTCTCGAATATATCAGTCTCTAAGAAAATGATAATCTCCGCCTGAACCCCTCGAGACCCGATAAGAGATACAGCAAGAGGGGAAGACCCGAATTGTTGATAACAAGTCGGCTATAATATTATTTCAATTAAAAAAACTCTTAAAAATTTTCCATTTCGTTTTAATTCCAAGTGAATTTTTTTTTCTCTAATTTATTTATTAACTAAACATTGAATAGTCGTTTTTTTAACAGGAAATGCTTGTAATTTAAACAATTGGAAATTTGTGATTGCAATAATTAATTAATTTATTTTTAATTCCAAATGAATTTTTTTTTTCTCTAATTTATTTATTAATTAAACATTGAATAGTCGATTTTTTAACAGGAAATGCTTGTAATTTAAACAATTGGAAATTTGTGATT